TTCCCTTCCTTCCTTCCCTCCCTCCAGTCAAAAAATTTCCTTCCTTCCTTCCTTCCTTCCTTCCTTCCTTCCTTCCAGTCAAAAAAGTTCCTTCCTTCCTTCCAGTCAAAAAACTTTCTTTCTTTCTTCTTCCCTTCCTTCCTTTCCTCTCCTAGTCAAAAAAGTTCCTTCCTTCCCTCCAGTTAAAAAAGTTGCATCCTTTCTTCTTCCTTCCTTCTTTCCTTCCCTCTCCTCAAAAAAGTTGCTTCCTTCCCAACCCCCACCTTCCCCATCTTCTTCAGCTCCTGACTGGGGAGATGGAGCCCCCCCCCCCCGGGCCCCTTTCTCGCCTGGTTGGCGCACCCTCAGTCCTCAACTTTATAATCTCCTTTATGGGAGTAGCCTTGCCTTGCTGATTGCCTGGCCTAGAAGACCCCTGGAGTCCTCCTCCCCGCCTTTTTTTTTTCTGGTTGCTTTTAATTGAAAGTAAAACTTCTCATGTTAAAAAAAAAAAATCCTCTCTTCCCACCCCGCCCCTACTGTTTTTCCAGTTTAGCTTGGGCAAGAAGGATTCTGAACGACAGAAATGGTAAAAATCTATGCTGGATTTTGGTACCCACAGCCCCCCCCCCCCTTAAAAATAGGGTATCGCATTATCTTGACTGTTTGAGGGAAAGAAGGCATAACAAGGGATATTTTGGATTTCAGCCCTCTTCATTACTTAGCAAGTATATTGGCTGGGCATGATGGAGTTGCAATCCAGTGCATCCAGAAGGCACCAGTTAGGGAAAAGCTGATCTAATAGCGTAGCACTGGACTTAAAAGTGATTAGAGCAATTGTTTAACATGCATCTCCTAAGTTAGGAATATAAGAAAAGCTGTTCGAGATTAAAAAAAAAAACCCGATCTGGTCCTTCATTCTTTTCTTACAGAGACCAATTAATTACCTGTAGGCAGGACACAAATATGCAACAGTATGTTCTTGTTTAGATTTTGCAGCAGTTTTCTGATAAACATTTTCAGAGATGTGGCAGCACCCCCTGTTTCTTGCACAGTATTCAATTGAGACACATTGTTATGGAAATTTTACAAGTTTTGTAAACCAACTGAATATCTAACAACAAATAATCTTTCAAATCTAGATTCAACTCAATTCAAATTACATGGTTTAGTAAGCCGCCCAGAATAGGTACAGAGATGGGTGGCATACAAATTTAATAAATGTATTCCTAGCTGATGATACCTTAGTGCTCAGAACAGCATTGATTTTTACCAACTGTAAGACTTAACTTTGTTACATTATTACATAGATTGCATTAATAGTATGAATAACTTCAGATTCGACAAGTGTCCTAAAGTTTATAATTAAAAAATGTATCATGGTTAAACAAACTGTTTAAACTGAAACATGATTAGGCCAAGATATGAAATGAAAGGGGTTCTGTTTGCTCTAGAGATGGGTGCAAAGATGTTCAAAATGTATTGGGGTTGTGAAACAGTGGAAAAATAGAGAAGGCTCTGCAAAAACGAATGTGTTTGGTAGGACATATTATGTGGGGAGCTGCTGGAAGGGGAGAAGAGGGGGGGGAAATTTACACCAACCTTTCTCTGTTTGCCCCACAAAATTCCTTCTAGTGTTGTTGACCAAAATGTGGAAAGACAAAAATATTCCAGTTTTTGCTAAATTGTGTTCAAAGTGGAAAGGTTCAGCAGAATTTTGAGAATATGATAAATATTATTTTATGCAAAAAACAAAATACACTTTCAGTTTTGTGTACACCAGAGTGGTATTCAGCAGGTTCTGACCAGTTCTGGAGAACAATTAGTGGGAATTTTGAGTAGTTTGGAGAACTGGCAAATACCACCTCTATGGGAACCCACCCCCCTCTGCTTTCCGAGTCCCAGCTGATCGGCTGGGCATTTTTTTTTGTCCTGCACAGGAGAACAGAGCTGGAAAGCAGATTAGTGAGGTGGGGAGGGAATGGGATTTTGCAGTAACCTTTCCCCCAGGAGTAGGGAGTGGATGGAGATTTTACAGTATCCTCCTGCCATGCCACGCCCACAGAACCAGTAGTAAAAAAATTTGAATCCCACCACTGGTGTACACCTTTAGAAATGTTTATGGTGTTTAAAATACAGGTAGTCCTTAACTTAAGACCACAATTGAGTTGCTAAGTGAGACATTTGTTAAGTGAGTTTTGCCCCATTTTATAACCTTTCTGGTCACAGTGACAAATTTTGTCACAAATTTTTAAGTGAATTGCTGCAATTGTATAGTCAGTAACCTGGTTGTTAAGTGAATCTGGCTTCCCCATTGTCTTTAAGTCATAAAAGGTGATCCCATGACCTTGGGACACAGCAACCGTCATAAATATGAATAACCAGCATCTGCATTGTGATCTCATGACCATGGGGATGCTGCAATAGTCGTAAGTGTGAAATATGGTTGTAAGTCACTTTTTTCGGTGCAATTGTAACTTTGAAGAGTCACTAAATAAATTGTTGTAAGTTGAGAACTACTTTTATACTCATGAAATGTTTGACCATGGTTAATAATACTCTATAATGGGCAAATGATAGAAAGGCAAAGATTAGGCTGAAAACTGAAATATAGTCATTGCCCTAGGGTGTAAAGAAATGATTATGATGTTCTCTAACCTGTCAACCTACTCTAAACAATGTTAGATGTTGTTGAACTGCTTATAGTACATACTATAGTACTTGTGTTATGATAGATACTGGCTTTTTTAAGGGCAAATCTAAAAAAAAATTTTTTCTCCGTCCCAACACCATGCCATAAGGAACAATTAAAAGTATTTCATGTGAAAATTAAGCAGTTTTGCTGATAACAAATGTAGTTGTTGAATTAGATGGTATTTTAAAAATATTATCTCAGAATATAAAAATGAATGGAAAATCAGAGAATAAACAAAAGTTCCATGCATATGGTCACTGGGATTCCCAAACATTTTCAGGAGCTAAGGAATGATTTTTTCCCCATTGAAAAATAGAATTAATAATAAATCTGTAATTTTTGTTCCATTTACTAGGTTTTAGAATAAATAATTTGCTTTTAGAAATTATCATAAGAATAATAAAATTGATTTTTTCCAAGTGGTAAAAAGTACTGCTATTCTTGCTAAATGAGAAAAAGGAGCTTTTGTGTCTTAATGTGGCCGCTTCATAATGCATAGTTCAATAGTTGTATATATGGGGGAAGTTTGATAGTTCTTTTCACTTTCAAAGTACAACATAGTACCAGTAGCTATAAAGGGGCAATAATTCCTGTTGGCTAGAAATTCTGCAGTGGTTAAACACCAGATAGAAACCAGGAGACTGTGAGTTCTAGTCTTGCCTTAAGCTCAAAGCTAGCTGGATGACCTTGGGCCTGTCATTCTTTCTTATCCTTGGGAAGAAGGCAATGGCAAACCAGTTCTGAAAATTGCCAAGAAAACTGCAGGGATTAGTCCAAGCAGTACTCAAGAGTTAATACTGACATGAAGGCACACACACACAAAAATCTCAGTATATCTGAATGGTATACCTGGAAAGGATTGTTATTTATTAAAATTTTCTTTAAAAATGGTAAGATGCTTTGGCAATCATATTCACTTAGTGAATTAATGTTACTGATTCTTAGATTGAATGTTCCCAGCTCAGTGATGTTCCAGTGTGACATTTCTCACTGCCTTGCCCCTGAGCTTATCTGCACTTTCTCTATTCCTCAGCCACCACAATTTCAGCATACCATAATCCCACTAGCCTTCTGATCTTCCCAAAACATTATGTTGCTGCTTCCCCCATATTCACATATCCATTGCTGTCCTTGGCTTTTATTCACCCTTCCTCAAAACACTTCTTTCTGAAGCAACTATGTTTTTTTGTCCTGTATTTGAAATGAAATTTTATTCTCTGTCTAGACCAAGCATAAAATTTTGATTTTTGACTTAAATTAGTTGAATACAACATTTCTGTATATGGAATAGTCCATTCATAAACTGTTTTGCACATCTGTATGGACTAGCTTGCATGCCTCACTTCATGTTTCTAGCTTCTAATATGCACGATGGAAATGCTTCGTGCTCTTTACATAGGCAACAAGAACAATCTTGAACATCTTGTGACTCACATTAGTAAATTACATAGACTGAGGGAGTCTAAGGGAGTTAGACTTAGTTAAGGGACATAAATTTAATTGCAATCTGAAATTTAACTTATACAGGTTATTTTATATTGGAAACCAGATGGAGGTGAACTATAGGTTAACTCGCTATTCCAGTCTTTGGTCATAAAACCAGTGTGAGGAGCAGCCATAAGATGGAATTGTTCATATAACAGTATCTCCATTGCTCCAATTTGTTTTTCTTTTTCCATAAATGGGAAATCCAAAAGAATTGATCGTAGCAAACTCACTGCAAAGGTGGCTGGGACATAAGCCAAGAAGAACAGGGAATTGTAAATGATCAGTAGCAACAGTTTGCTTTCTTGTCCAACAATGTAAACTTGGAGGTAACGATGATAGGGATTATTTATCCTAAGTATAACTATTCTAACTTCTAGAATCATTCTAGCTTCTAGCAGTAGAAGGAGTTGTTCAACTGAGAGCTAGTAGCATTCGCATGCTCACTGCT